GGGGTGTTGGGGGTGTGTGTTAATTTTTCTCTTTCTTTTCATGAGTGAAAGAATCACGTCTACCACATAAGGCAAAACGGATGAGTTAACGAACTGGAACAAAATGACCCGCAAGCGGTGCCTCCATACCACAAACACACAAAAATGCCCTCTGACAATGCACTTGTTGGACAAAACTTCAACCTCTTTCTTAATACTTTGAGCGTCAAAAAAGTCAATATATTCAGTTCAGCACTTCCTTTTTCTTTTCTTTTTTTTCGGTCTATTGTGAGCAGTTGACATAATTATCTCAAACCCATAACGTCACACAAGAGTGGTTCTTCTTCCCAGGACATAAAATCTAGGTAAATAACGGCCTCGAAACTCGACACGCGATCTGAAGACGGCAAGACAGGGAGGCCTGGGGCACATCGGACATAGGTCAAGGGACAAGCTCCCCCGAGGGGGGTCGGGGGGAGAGAGAGAGAGATGAACCGATGAGCTCAGTGATAAAGCCTATCGAGGAGATCCTGTGGGGCCGACTTCATTACTCGGAAGCGATCGTCATTGGAGAGGTGGCCAGTACATAAACCTGGCGTTCCCACCAGATAGCGGTCATTTCTGGAGGGTCAAGGAGTCAGCCGGTACGCATGCCTGGCTGACCACCTACCGCCAGACTGTCCTTCTCCTCTCTGACTTGGCATTTTGCAGGTGACAGTCAGGTTGTTGTATCCATCCGTGGATGCTATCTAAGACTAGGTAGATGGTGACGATGATGTGGCTGATGAGAATCAAGAGTTTTGCCAGTACAGTGTTGTGTCCTGTTGCTGGACTCAGACGGCGCTATAGCTCCTCGTTGAGGGGAGACCACCGGTCAGAAAAGAAACAGACATTTCTGGTGCGCAACGTCTGCTTTCTTACAAGATGCGACATCCCGTGAAAAAGTTCAATCTGACGTTTACACCAGCACATGAGTCCGACCAACACCCCCAGTTAACCGGTAAGTTTTACGTGTCATATTATACGAATCTGTGTTAGGGCCAGAAAAAAGTCCAGTTTCGTAAAAGCTTTTTACACGTGGCAATTCATATGGGTTTTCCCCCTCTCCAAAACGCATTTCTAAATGCATTCAATATTGTCTTGTGAATTCTTAGCACAGTTCCGTAACCACTGAAATAAAAACGACCAGGTTATTTCCAGGAGAATAATAGTATCTTTGTTCACGCTCCGACTGACCGTGCAAAACTCAAGTGCCAAGGTTAACCCCATGGATGAAATGCGTTGCTTTATTCAAGTTTTGAAGCACCAAGCATTCCGGTGTATGAGTTAGCTTGTGCCCCTTTTTCTGTTTAATGTATCTTTCAGAACCCTGGGTTTTATAGCTTCTTTTTAGCTTGTAATTTAAAAGGAGGAATGGGTTGTACTCGCGGTAAAGAGGAATGGGAGTGGATCGCGGTGTTTAATTCATTATATAAAATAAATTGCTTCTGTATATTCGTGTATGTGTTGATTTCATAATTTTAAACATACATGTATTCGAATCCAAAACATGTCAAGTTACTCCATTACACAATAATTTGTGTTCCCTTTCTGTTCCCTTTCAGTGGCAATGTTTCCTTCATGTATGTCTTTATCCCACTCCTCCTACACTTCCTCCTTCTCTTTTTCCACCCCGTCCTCCTCCTACTCCTCCTCCAACACACTTCTCCTCTTTGCTGTCTGTCTGTCTGTCTGTCTGTCTGTCTGTCTGTCTGTCTGTCTGTCTGTCTG